TATATATATATATATATATATATATATATATATATATATGTATGGGGCCACAGTGGAGGGGTGTCTGTACACCCGACAGGTTGCAGCTCTTCGTTTCTAAGGGGAGATATTTCTACGTACACCGCAGCAGTGATAGAAGAACTAAAATAATATAATGCAGTAATATATATATATATATATATATGAGATAAATATATAAATATAAATATGTACATATTATATTAAGATGTAAAGAAAAGCAGCTCGCCAATATAAAGGGTCTCCTCATTAGAGACACAGAAGAATGCGGTTAGTAACGCCGCAGAGTTCACTTCAAATGGGGCTGCATGCATGCATGCATGCATGCATGCATGCATGCATGCATGCATGCCCCTACTGTTTCTTGTCTGATGTCTACAAAACATCAGCTTCATATCTTATTATTAATTAATTACTTATTCTCTTTATTTTATTCCCCATACGTTGTTGTTGATATTATTATTATATTTTCTTTTTTCTTTATTTTTTCTTCTTACGCCTTTATTCACTTAATAATAGAGTAAATAATAACAAACCCTAATCACAACCCCTAACCGTCAACCCAAACCCTATACCCTATACCCTAAACCCTAAACCCTAAACCCTAACAGTAAACCCTTACATCATTGAACCTGGAGGCCTCATCATAGGAGGCATACTGCCTACAGGAGGCTGCATGCCTGGGGGCCCCATGGGGCCCCTCCCAATAGGGGGGCCCCCCCCAACCATTTGATGTGGGGCTGGGGCCCCTACACCTCTAACAGGGCCTGCCAGCCCTACAGGTGCTGCACTTAACGGTACAGCACTAACACCTCTACCTGCAGGCATGCTTCTCCCTAGCCCTGCTAATGAAGCATCGGGTTTCTTTGGCTGCTGCTGAGGAGGAGCCTCTGCTATAAATGTACAGATGTTCTCCCCTGCATGCAGCACACAATAACATATATATACACCCCAATAAATTAATAAACAATATATATATATACATATATATATATATATATATATATATATATACAGCCATACACATGTATATATATGCACACATATATATGCATGCATATATATATATATATAATGTATATATATATATATATATAATTGGGTGTGTGTATAGTATGTAAGGTATTTTGTACGTCGTATGTTTGAGGTGCATGCAAAAAGATACAAAAAAGCAGAGAGAGACAGAAGAGCAAGAGAAAGGCTGAGATATATGTAGAAAGATACTGATAGAAAGATATATATATAAATATATATATATATATCTATATATATATATATATGCATGCATTAGTAGAAAGGAAACATTGGGGTGTCTACGCACCTCTGAGTAGAATAAAGCCAACAGTTCTTTTTAATTCTTTTTCCTCGACAACAACACCCTTCCCATCAACTTTACTCTTTACTCTTAGCTTTCGATACTCCTCTGCATCGGCCATTACGACGTTCATATGCCGATCAAAAGCTAAAAATGTCCCCACCAACATGCGCGAGTCCTTTGCAAACAAATGCAGAAAAAAACGCAAAAAAAGAGCTCCCTATACACCCCAAAATATCTGTATTATATACACCAAGTGCATGCAAATAAACAAATAAATAAATAGATAAATGAATAAATAAATAAATTAAATAGTTAATTAGATTAATTAATTAAATTAATTAATCAATTAATGCAGTGGAACAAACAAACAAACACTAAAAACCTAAACACAAACAAAACCTAAACCCTAAACCCTAAACCCTAAAACCTAAACCCTAAAACCTAAACCCTAAAACCTAAACCCTAAAACCTAAACCTCGGCAGGAAAAATAGCTGCATGCAGACTGCAGACACGTGCGCTTCCTCCCTCCTCCCAAAGCCAGGAAACCCTAAACCCTAAACCCTAAACCCTGAATGCATGCAGCCTCTTAGCGGCATTGAGATTAAGCAGTTAAAGACAGCAGCAATGTGCAAACCACAAACACCAACAACACCCCGAAAAACAAAAACAAACAAACAAACAAACAACAAAGCCCCCTAAACCCTAAACCCTAAACCCTAAACCTTAAGCGCTAAGCCCTAAGCCCTAAGCCTAGCGAAGGAGTCCTCGAGGACGAGGCTTTGAAGGAGGATATGAACGCATTAATGGTGCCCAACCCTAAGCAATACTAAACCCTAAACCCTAAACCCTAAACCCTAAACCCTAGGCCCTGGGAGTGCAGACAGACCTGCAGGACGATGCGGACGCGGTAGTTCAGCCATTGCTGAAGCCTTGCGTTCTTGCTGGGCATTTTCCAAACCCTAAACCCTAAACTCTAAACCCTAAACCCTAAACCCTAGCCCTTAAGAGCCCCGGGCAGCAGCTCCTGTGGCTGCTGCTGCGATTGGGGGGTTGGGGGCGCCAGAGGAGCAGAAAAATGCGAGAAAAAGAATTAAATAAGTTTTATTTGTTTAGTATTTGCACTGCAACAAGAAAATTAAACAGAAAAACCCAAGGACCCAACACCACAGCAGCAGCAGCTGCTGCAGTAGCAGCAGCAGCAGCAGCGGCTGCTGGGGATGCAGCAGCGGGCCCCAGTGGAGAGGTCTCGTGCTGCTCTGTTTGTTGCTGCCGTTTGTCTTGTGTATTTGCTTCTGTAATATCATTATATTACTATATATAAGAAGAAAAACAGCTACAATTAGAGGTGCGTATACACCCCAATATATACACCAGAGGGGCCGCAGTACGCCCCCCCTACCCGCCCCCCCCCACAAACCTCTGCTGCAGCAGCAAAACTCGCTGCTGCAGCAACACATGCAGCAGCAGCAGCAATTATGCGACAGCTTTGCTGCTAAGGGATACAGAGGGGGCCCCCGGGGCCCCCTCTCCCTCCCCCTCCTTTTAAAGTGCTAGCTGTAGATACACCTTAGATGTGCTTTTAGTTGTTTATATTGAAGGCCCACCTGCCTGTACACCGCAAACAAAGGCCCGAAGGAAATAGGGGCAATACCCAGCAACAACACAACAGCAGCATCAACGCTGCTGCTGCTGTTGTTGCTGATGCTTTCGTTGCTGCTGCTTTTGCTGCTGGCTTTGCTGCAGCAGCTAACCAGGTGTCTCTAAATCTTCATCTCCCCTCCACGCGACATGCATGCACTCTGCATGCAAAGAGCCCCTAAGACAGCCCCAAACCAACTAAGAAAAAACGAAAAAAGTATTGCCTTCACTGTTAGGTACTCTTTGAGGCCCCTCTTTGGGGCCCCTAAAGGAAACAAACCATAGGCAGCCCTCAGGGGCCCCCCCTAAAGGGGCCCCTTAGAGGGCCCCCCTCAATAAAGGGGCCCCTTAGAAGGGCCCCACTAAAAGGAGCCCCAGGCCAACCCCTTAAAGGGACACCCAGGGGCCCCCCGTAAAGAGGCCCCCCAAAGGGGTCCTCAAGGCTACCTACCCCCTAAAGGGGCCCCCTATGGCCCCTCAGGGTCCCCCCCTAGAGGGGCCCCCTGAGGGCCCTCGGGGTTTGAATTAAAATTACATTATGAAGCATCTAAGTGTCTCCTTAACGAGACCTTTATATCTATGTGCTGCGTATTAAAGCCCCTTGTTGCATCCGCAGGAGGAGGGGGGGCCCCCCGGGGGCCCCCCTGCAGCACTTTGGGGGCCCTTCTAAATATATTAGGGAAGCCTAATGGGGGCCCCCTTAAAGGCATTTTACGGCCCCCCCCCACCTGGGGGGCCCCCTAGAGGCATTTAGGGTTTAGGGTTTACTGATTGAAATGAGGTAGGGTTTGCTAAACCCTCAAGCCTCTAGGGGGGCCCCCCCTGGGCGCCCCACTCTGGCACTAAACCCTAAACCCTAAGCCC